ACCATATCACACCACACCATACCATATCACACCACACCTTACCATATCACACCACACCATACCATATCACACCCCACCACACCATATCATATCACACCGCACCATACCATATCATATCACACCGCACCACACCATATCATATCACACCACACCATACCATATCACACCGCACCATACCATATCATATCACACCACACCATACCATATCACACCACACCATACCATATCACACCACACCATACCATATCACACCACACCACACCGCACCGCACCACACCACACCATTCTTTGCGAATGGTTGGAGGGTGTCACTTCTTTTTCTTTACCTCTGTTGTTTCTATCGGTGTGGGTGGTTAAAACTTCTACTATTACAATTAACACTGTGGGTGGTTGGCGGGTGCTTTGGTGTGGTTTTCTCTCTTTCTTTCCTTTCAAACATTTGTCATCCCTATCTCTCCTCCTTTTCTCTGTAAGTTACTCGCTATAGCAGTGCGGTCAAAAATATGGGGGGCAACTTATCCTCAAATATCCCTTTAACGGGTGAATCAATGTCATCCATACTTTGCATAGCAGTTTGTATCAATTTGTCTTAACTAAATGATATTTTTCCGGAACAATTGGGGCTAGTTTATAAAAGTTTTCTCCTTAAATTTATATAAAATACTTGAAATCTGTGTCACACGTAGAATGGTATTGTTCACAGCACTTCCCGCTTCTCACACACATTTTGATTACGCATATATATGGCCTACGTCACAGCTCATCGATGACAATTTTTATTTGCAAAACTTGTTACGAGAAATTATTGTTATAGTTAACACATTTTTGCACTAAGGGCTCTCAAAACATGCGTTCAATAAGCATAATGTCCAGATTAGAAAAACTTGACGGACTTGCTATTAAAAGCAATATTGCCCCAGCTGTAAACATTTCCAAATCTGCAGAAACCACTCACTTGGATTTTTAATAAGTATTTATTAAGGAATTTTCTAGAATACAGCTTGCAGGTGTTTACATAAATGTTGATCTGTTAAGACAAATTGATACAAGTCACTGTGCAAAAATTGAAGAACCTATTTTCGATAGTTGAGAAGATGTTGGACAATAAGTCGCACCTCGAATTTTTGACCGCACTATAGTGACGTGTCTAATCTCCAGCATTCATATGACCTGTTCGTTTGCTGTAAAACGCTTACTCACTGAGACAAGAAAAAAAAATTCAACATTGTTTGTGTTTTGTCCAGATTTGGAAGTCGGGAAATCGGCTGACCCGAGTCTTGCGGCAAAACTGGAGGTGTCAACGTACCCAACGCTGGTCTACCTCCGAGACAAGTCCTACGTGTTTTACGACGGTAAGCTCGCTTTGTACGTGTGCAGGGGTTGTGGACCTTACACGTAACAATAGTAGATAGCATTTGTATAGCACAAATCCACACTCAATACAGCAGCAAGCTCTGTGCGCTTCACAATCTATACTATTACCCCAGCAGACCTGAGAGCATTCTGAAACAAACTCAACTTCAAAACTTTTTCAAAATCATAGTTTGAGTGTTTGTGAAATGACGCTGTGTTGCAAGTGGCGTGAAACTCTTACCACATGTAAAACTAAAATCTTCGACACCTATTTGTGTTGCAAGTGGCGTAAAATTCTTACCACATGTAAAACTAAAATCTTCGGTAGGTTTATGACGTATTTGTGTTGCAAATGCTGTAAAACTCTAACTATGTAAAATGAAAACTAAAACTAAAACTTTTGGCAGGTCATTTTCTACCTGTTTGTGTTCCAATCGCCGTAAAACTCTTACATAAACTAGAATAAAATCTTCATCACGTTTTGTTTTGTTTGTTTGTTTTTGTAAAGTGTTTTACGGCGCTCGCAACTGCATAAGGTCATATGAGCGCACGGGACACACCTAATATTTTCAGTTGGTAGGAAATTTGAAATTTTGCCCGGGTGGCGGCCGAAGCCTACTCTTATCGATTTTAGACCACCAAGGGATCTTTCACGTGCACAACTTGCACACCGGCCCTCCGAGATTTTTCGCCCTTGTCTGAGATGGCTAGGTGTAGATCTTTCCTACCAGAAGATCAAGGGTGTGGCTTAAAGACAGCAGTAAGAAGAAGCGAAGGAGTAGCAGTAGAACGGCTACAGAAAGAATCAGGAGCCCAGAGGAAGGGGCAAAGGAGGTGAGGGGGTGGGGGCAGAAAGTGGAGACAAAAGCAGACGACAGAACATTGCTAGAGAACAGGAAAGGAGGTATAAGGAGACATATTTAGAGAAGAAAATTTTTCGGTCGCTACCCGGGACCTTTGAATGAGAGGCCAACACCTTAACCTCTAGGCCACGAGAGCCCCCCATCACGTTTACAACCTGTTTGTGTTGCAAATGGCGTAAAACTCCTACTACTTATAGAATGAAAATCTTCGACACGTTTAAAAAAACGACCTATTTGTGTTGCAAGTGGCGTAAAATTCTCGGTGTTGCCTCTGACCCTCACAGGTGGGTTTGACCTGGAGGAGCTCATTGATTGGCTGATGCACGCATCGCAGAAGGTTCTACAGAGGCTGGACGACGACAGCTTTGAGCACTTGACGCAGGCTTCCAGCGGTGCTACCACGGGGGACTGGCTTGTGGCATTGTGGGTGATTGTGTTGTTGTTGTTGTTGTTGTTGTTTACTGTTGTTTTTGTTGTTACTGTTGTTGTTGGTGGTGGTGGTGGGGGTGGTGGTTGTTGTTGTTGTTGTCGGTGGTGGTGGTGTTGTTGTTGTTGTTGTTTTTGGTGGTGGTGGTGGTGGTGTTGTTGTTGGTGGTCGTGTTGTTTGTTGTTGTTGGTGGTGGTGGTG